TACGCCAGTATTTCTGCTGTCCCTAGATTGGTTACTTTGAACACACTACGTGACAATGAAGGTGCAACGAAACAGCGTAAGAGATTAGGAAGAGGAGAAGGTTCAGGACGAGGCGGAACTTCAGGACGGGGCCATAAAGGGCAAAAGGCGCGGACGGGAACAGGGAAGCCTAGGGTAGGATTTGAAGGTGGCCAAACTCCATTAGCAAGAAGAATACCGAAGAAAGGATTTAAAAACGTGTATGTTGCCCTATTCATCGAATTCAAGACGCTGATTTAATGCAATACTGACGATCTCATCTCTTGGAGGCAGACACGGAAAAGATTATGCGACATTAAATTTGGATAGGTTACAGTGGTGGATAGATTCTGGAAGAATCGATCCTTCCAAACCCATTACAATGAAGGAATTGTTGGATTCAAGAGCAGTTCATAATGTAAAAGACGGAGTGAAGCTACTGGGCGATGTAAGTTTTAAAGTTATTCATTTTTGGCTTCGTCTATGTCTATGGAAACCCAGCAAAACCAACATGTTCGGTCGTCCTTAGGGTGCTCCTTTCTTTAAAACGCCAATACATATAGAAGTGTCAATGGCTTCTCAGCAAGCGATCAAGGCGATTGAAAACGTAGGGGGGAAAATTCTCGCCGTATACTATAACAACTTGAATTTGCGGTCCCTTCTGAAACCACACCGATTTCCAATATTGCCTCGCCGAGCTGATCCTATCAACACCAGGCTTCTAGGTATTTCGATCTCCTTCTTTCAATATCAACACTCACTTAATACTAATTATTTATCAGAGTATTATCGGAACCCTGCAAATCGAGGATACCTCGCTCTCGACATCCAGCCTACGTATCCAGCACCTTCGGCCACTTTCTACAACGGGTCATCACCTGTATCATACACCGCTCCTGCCCTTTCGTTACCCAAACCGACTAGATTAGCTGCCCCAAAAGATGTATTGAAATAAATAAATATTTGCGACCACCGGCTAGCTAAATGTTGGAGTTCTGGCGATTTCTTATGAAACGGCGATGGACTTGTCCGACTCATATTGATGCGTTTCGCTGTTCTTCCCTTTCCGTTAAAACATTCAGGTATTCTGCTGTCAGGTCCTCGCTCAGAACATCAGTTGGCCCTCGTTCTGCTTGCTTTTGACGCAGTTCTTCCAATTCCATCTGAAGCTCGATCACTAGTTGCCAGTCGTCATTATATCCTTCTAATGATATTTAGTGAATACGCCAGTCACAAAATACTTGCATCAAAATCGAAGGAGGTACTAAACTAACCATTGACGCAACTTTTGAATTCTTGAAAAGCATTCTCGATTTCACCAAGATTGAGATAACAATAGCCGAGTAAATGATGGCCATGTATTTCGGCGTCAGGTAAAGATGACTATTTTTGAGTTACATTTGAGTGATTAGACATTTCTGTGATTAAGCATTATCGAAACTCATCCCAAAGTAAACGAATTGATATCGTACGCACATAATATTGCAAACAAATCATAGCCCGAGAATATGCACCCATTTTGTAGAAGTCTTTTGCGACCTGATATTTCAATTGTGATATGAAAGTAAATCAATACAAGATACTTTAAGATATCACAGATTCAAAATATTTGACATTTCCAATGTTAGAGAACCCCATGAAGAAATATTGAATGACCCCACCTGATATACGTCTGCAGCTCCAGCAAGGCGATTTAAACGTCCCTTAAACCACATCAGTATTTCTTCTTTCGTCATTGTCGGTCTAAAATATATAGTCAGAGGGAAATTTATCATCAGTCGAGGTCTGGTTATGTCAAGGACGTTATTGTATTGAGAACAATCAATTTTGAGGAGTGTGTGATACACTAAGAAACAAACCGAAAGGATTCTAAGTCTTGATATTCGGACATTTCGGATAATCTTCAGCAGTGCAGATATGGCTGATAATGGGGGGAACTTTGGAGGTGAGATTTGAATGAAAATGTTATGTACACCCCTCAGATTGGCGAAGGATCGTCTCACAACGCGATCAAATTCATGTCACTGCTTCTCCAACTCCGTTTTCGCTCCATTTATTTTCAACAAGTACTCATCCGCAAATTCATAAATTTATATATAGTTAAAGCTAATCTAGAATGGTATCGAATGGCTGGCAAACTGGTAAGAGTTGTTCTCGGCATTGCTATTGTAGAACACTGTCGAGTCTCGAACTTTATTCCGCATTCTAACTTCACATGCTTCCGTGATTTGACAGTCAAGAAGCATTCTCGTAGACTTTCAGAATCTCTTCGGAGGTCGCCCATCAAAGAACCTAGACAAACTAATTTTGATGATTACACACAACCTATCACAGTCAACCTGGATGGAAATGAACTTATTTATGAGAACAATCTATGGAGTGCAGGTACGCTTCATCACTTTCAGTACAACGGTTCCTATAATGCCATGCTAATTGAATCGCAAATTGTCTACTTGTTTGCACTGTAGCATCAATCGATGGAAATCATTTGAAAAATCAGATAAATGCGCTGACTGAAGCGAATCAAACTCTCCAAGAAGAAAATCAATTTTTGAAGTTCAAAATAGGTATATTGTTGGACATGGTATGCAAACCGTCCCTTTTCAACTCTGATAGCGGCTGGTAAGATCTAATATATTGATAGCTATCCGTAACGAAGTTGGATTTACTTCGCTTACAGGATGAGCACAAAAATAGCCCCAAATGAGCGGAAGAAAAATGTACGATATTGCGTAGACTGGACTGGAGATTCAAGATTGATTCCAACACTATATCGTCCTCTATTTTCATCAATAAAAAAGCTCATCTTCCTTCAACATTTTAACCCCAAATGTGATAGTCTGGAAGTCTACGCCTGTAACTGAGCCATACTTCTGAGCTACGGCAGTTAAATGTTTTTCTAACTCTGCTACATGGGACTGCCACTGAGCAATATAATCTGCATCGTCGTTTGACTCAGAATGAGCAAGAGGGTCGGAACGAATGGATAAATAAGAATCGATGGCGATGGACAAAACATTCACAAACACTTCCAACCAATTCATAAAGTTCTCTTTTCTCTGCGGAATAAGACGGAAGTACACGAAACAAATCTTTTTCAGTGACACAGGAATTCGGAGTAAATTTCTATCTTTCAACTGAGTCTTGTCTTCATCTCGAAACAAATAATCTATTATCTGGAGACGAAGCGAAGGCGATTCGACAGTCTTTACGACGGTGACGTTAGATAAAACAGTAAAGTTGGCTCAAGCGAAGGTCCGAGCTCACCTTAATGAATGCGATATATTTCTTTGGCTCCCATTGGTTTATGACGGGACAAACATATGCAACCATGCTTTTCAAATCAATTAAGTTGCCATTGTTTCCAACGATAGTCATCTAAAATTAACCGTTAAACAAGGGTTTGAAATGACCAATGTATTCTGATTCACCTACCAAAAAGAGAATCCTCTGCAGTAGTGTCAACAGAAAGACATCATCGCACTTTTCGAATGCCGAGAGCAGTTCGATCACGAACTGCGACAAACTTGTATGATGGCGGCTGTTGGCAGAGCGACCGATCATTGAACTGAGAAGGCAATTATCTAAACAAGGGTGCGAGTTGAGATTCAGGAGAGGAAGACGGCAAAGTCGAATGTGACTTCACCTGAAGTTCCAGCAGATTGCAACCACCGGTATGTGTCGGTTTCCAGAAGCCTCACAAAAGGTTGAAGTAAAACCTGCGACTGTAAAGTCTAAGGATAATATCGTTAGATTGTTCGGAAAATAAGATGAGTTTTTATTTTCAACTCACCGCATCGTCATTCCCACTAGCTTCGACGATTTTCACAAAACAGAGACGCAAATATGACCACAAGGATGAAATTTGGCTTCCTTCCGGATGCACATCTTTTTCTAGTATTATAGCATCCTCGATAGAGTTTGCCCCATGCCAGCCAATGGTCGCTGATATTATTTTTTGACTCTCTCGCAAATAAACTGGGTTAGGACCAAACTTCTGGCTACTTTGGCTTTCCGTTCTGTAATCATTCGACTCATTAGGTCGATTATATTTTGCAGACTGTTGTACCATTCCCTCCAATATTATAGAGCGAATGATAGAGCTAAGCAGGAAAGATGTGTTAATTTGCACAATTATCGTGGGAAATGATCATGAAACAAGCGGTAAATATCGTACGGTTGAAGTCCCACACTCGGAGATAAGAAAGGTTCGAGTAGCCGAACGGCAGCCTCAACTGATATATAGCAAGTCAATAATAGATCACAGGGGCCCTTTGACATGCAGAAGATACATACAGTGCCCATCTTCGATGTTGCTCTCAATAAGGCTCTTTGCATTACGGCTGAGTTCTTTGTACTTCAAGGGATGCTGGGAGGGAGCTACAATATCTTTATAACTATATAAGAAATTTCGAGCATCCAGGGATAGATTTTGATCAGGATATGACACCCCGGCCATCATCTTCTAGGACGAGGACTGAAGTTGCTGTAAGGTGACGCGCCCAAGGTGGGAAGGTCGAGTAGTGATGTTCTTTCCTGTGAACTACCGTATCGCGCCTCCAAAGTTATGTTAGATCAGTTTCTTCCTTTTAAGTGCACTTTCGCACTGATACTGACAACGATGTGGCTTAAATCTGCTACCGTGAGCATCGAGTGACCGTTGTCTCAGTTTATATTATGCAACGATTGATATATGGATGACCACAAACTGTTCCCTTGCAGATCCTGCAGCTTCCTTCAGCTTATCTCACAGAGGATTAAATCAGCTCTCACTGGCATGATTTCCACCGCACCCGCAACTGTATGAGGACGAACCCCAGCCTACGTGGTAACTCCCAGACATTTTTGACGTGGATCCTTCGGTTGTCAGTGGAAAGTCCTAATGTTTCGACATCACAATAAGTTCTAATTCCGACAGAAAAGCTATCCAGTTCGAAGATTACATCAAAAATGAAGTATGTATATCGAATGAGAAGCAAAAACGCTCCAGGGTGGACTCGAACCACCAACCTTTTGGTCACGGCAGACTTTAGAATTTCTATAACAGCCAAACGCGCTAACCATTGCGCCACTAGAGCAGTCGGACGTCAGGGCTCACAATTACAGATATTTTCAGACGCATTTATCTTTCAAGGTGTGACCAAATTGATTCCTCTGCTAAGCGCAACAGTACTTCGACTAACGGTTGTACGAATGAAAATTTAACTCTGTCATTGTTCTCAATACTAGAATCTTGGATATTGTTGGCAAGGAATGTAATTGTTTTGGTTCATGTTACTTAAATTTATTCCCAGGTACGTTTGAAATTGTTGACATGCGTTATGTGTTTCAAGTGCGGTATTTTCTGTATTTGATATTTGTAACATATGTTTTGTATCTCATTATTTTGTATGCAGTTTACATTACAGATTGAAATTACTAATGAATACAGAATTTTTACCGCCTACTACATAAGGATCCTGAACTCATTAGTGCTTTCAACATTATAAATCCTGATTTGTATTTCCTCAAATACATTCTAGCCATTGTCGTCGCCTAAATCTCTTTCAATTCCATTACAGAAGGAGTAATTTCAATCTGTAACAAGAGGGAAAGATATTAAAGCGACAACAATCGGCAAGGATGTATTTGAAGAAATACAAGACAGGATTTACTTATGCTGAAACTAATAGTGAATACAGAATTCTTACGGGCTATTTATACTACAAAATATGGATGGATAGCGTTATGGCCACGAAAACTAATATATTAAATCATGCTAATTGTCAAGAAACACAAAAGGCCAAGATCACATCATATTAAATTTCAAATGTCTTTAACTTTCTTCATCTAAGTTCACTTGATTCCTTACAGGTTCGAAACAGATAGTTAGAGAATTACCCGTTTCCCATGAGTTATTGAGAGACACAATACTAGATACTCTATATATATCGAGGCCAATTATTTTTGAGTTCATGTTTGAAGTCACTGCTGACTGTCGATTGAACTGGTAAATTTAAAAACTCAAAAGCGCGTTTTAATCGTGTTGATGGCCGCCCTCTAAAGAGTTGTTCCTTCTGCAAATATTTCACTGGTTGAGATTAGACACTTTGGAAAAACCCTAGATTGAGTCAACGTAGAATGGAATATTAGAATAGAAGATTAGCATCCAGCGGGTACTCTTAAGGGTTGGTGACTTGTTGTATATTAAATAATTCTGCCGACAGTTCTCATAGATTCTGGTGCTCAAGGGTTTGCTTATATCAATGAAGTTTCTGAACATATCATATAGAGTCCTTTAGTGTAACTATCCCATTCCTGTTGCTGCCGCCGATATACAGGCCTATCGCAAATGTACCTATCATACCATCACCCATCCTTGATTCGTATGAATCGTTAAACCTCTTCATCTCTAATTATCCTACCATTTTCGAATTATCTCTTTTCATGCTAGTCCTGATTTCACTCCAATACTTCTTCCTCCAATTCAAGCATCATCCGCATTCCGCCGCGTATCGATAGATGTAGCCTTGTCCACTTGCTCCATCAGCCGTTAACAACCCGACCGCCTACAAATTTACAATCCATTATCCACGCTGTTGTTTTAAGTCATGTGCAACGAAATCATAGGATGCCTGAATGATCTTGACAGATATGAGGAAGCTATTGGATAGGATTTATGGAGACGGGTTGATAACAATGCTGGCACGTTGAACAGACTGTTATCAGTTTATTTATAAATCTGAATTCTATATCGAGTCGCAGTGCCCCAGATCTATTTTTGGATGATGCTAGAGCCCATGGAAGACAATTTAAAATTTCTGGTTAAATAGTCTGATTCTTCCATGCAACCGTCTGTGAGAGTCGAATAGGTTGCGAATGATAGTAGGATGTGAGGTCATCTTTGGTTTTCAATTAATTCATATGGCGCCGAGTGGCAGCCGGCTTCTCTTATCCATGCCCGTGCAGTCACGTTCTACTTCGGGTTGACAATCACATTCAGCAGGCCAGGCTGGGAGGGAGAGACGCACTTCCGGGTTGGCTTATCACGGCGTACTGGGCTCATGGGCATGGTATCTGGTATATCTGGCTCAGCAGCGTATTGTGCACGAGTGGTGCTGTGATGGTGTGATTGTTCCATTTCCGTTGTTCTGCTTGTAGCCCTGAAAATCTGCTTGTGAATCAACTGGTGAACGGGTGTGAACGAAACCTTCGACCCGAGAGTTGAAACGGGAAGCGGGAGAAGCGGGGTTAGAGTTTTTTAATTTTTTGTCTCGTAGACTTTTTGCATGTCACAAACTCTTGTCGCTGTTCCTCCTCATCCACAATACAGACAACACATTCTAAACATTATCAGAAGAGTCTAATTATCCCCCTTTTCTCGACTCGAGTCTCGCTTCTTTTCGGGCAAAATATACCACAGCACGAGTCATGTCGTCCGCTTCAGCATTCTACGATGCCATCTTATCCTCTATATTGCTGTGGTCCAAAACCATCGTTTTGGCTGCCCTGCTGGTTCATGTTCCGAGTATATTAAAGGCCCTACTCTCCAGTCCTCATTCATCATCACAATCTTCAAACACCAAAAGCCAGCCGAAATCTTTAAATGACTCGCAGCACCAGGCGATTTCAGATGAAACCCTCCCTTCACCACCACCTGTAAATTGCTCAGGATTAAATATAAACGTAGAAAAGAACGAAGAAGTTACAAGGAAATTAGAACCTAGAGATTCTGTTTATAGTGAAAACAATTTTCATGTTCACCAAGTCAGACATTCTCGCCCTTCCTCTACAAATTACGAATGTGGCGACACTTTCTCTTCTCCTATCAAAGAATCGACAAGTAGACTATCCGCATCGCACCAGTCTTCGTTCTCCAGTGATTTTGAACACGACGATAACATGGTACCATTGAATCTATTGACTGGAGATGATTTTTCTACCGGTGATGAGGTTGAATCCCACCGGAAACCCGAGCTGAACAGAAGCCGGCAAGAAGATAATACATTCATAATTAAATCCGAGCCACCCTCATCTGCCTCAACTCAATCCTCAACGAGACGATCGATAAAAAGGAAACCGGTTCCGTCTCTCGACTTTTTCTCACTTCCTCCACATATCCCAAAATCAGTTAACGAATCCGCGGTTGTGGCATCCAGTCCATCAGTTTGCGGCTCCATCGCTTCAACATGGGTGACCTACGAAAGTGATCACCCGTTGGACTCCGACATGGAGTCTACGCATACTTCTCACCGTCATCAAAACTCTGCAGTTCGCCCACCTAAAAGGAACCGGCCTACCCGTCGCCCCGTCTCCTCCTCGAGTACATCATCCGTTCGCATCCCCACTCCCGATTCATCCAACGAGTCTAATTCCGATTACTCTTCCGGCGACGTATGCGATTTAAGCTCAAAAGAATTGACAGAGTTCCCTCTCGTCCCGACCAATGTGGCAAAATTATTATTAGATTACAACAACATATACAGCATCCCGTCGAATGCGTTCCAAGACTTTTCAAATTTAGAAGTATTGGATTTAAGTAGCAATAGATTACCTGATTTGCCGGATTCTATTGGTAGCTTGGGGAACTTGAAAGAGTTATATTTGAGGGGAAATTTATTGCTCAGGTTACCTGATGCTTTGGAAAGACTCACAAATTTGGAGATTCTCGATGTCAGCTGTAATGAATTATATGAACTCGGTACATCACTTGCTATATGTTACAACAGTTGTTTATAATATTATTAACTCTTTTGCTTTGTTATTTGTTTCTTCTCTCAGGACCGTATGTTCGCACCATGACAAGTCTACAGCAGATTGATGTCCGACACAACAAATTGCGAACATTGCCGTCGGAGCTTGGTCTTCTCATAAATACTTTAACTTGCTTACTCTTGGACGGAAACCAATTTGAATCGTTTTACAAGGATTTAACTCAACCGCTGTTGGCCAAAGCTGCTGCGTCTCCTGGTATCACTTCACATCGCCGTACCCTTTACGCCGCTGACTCTGGCCACGGTTCATCGTTAACGCTGTCTTCAGATTCCTCAAGTAACGGTCGCAGCTCGAAACCGAATCAAAGATTTTCGGCTGAACCTTATCCTACTGCGCATCATTCGGCCTCCAACGATTCTGAATTAACAAGAGATGTAATCGCGAAACGACGAATCACGTCTGCCCCACTTCTTGGTCGAGGAGAGCATCAGTCGAATTTGTTGTCGCCGATGATATACAAAGAATCATCCTTGGAGCCTATCAGCGAAAGACGAAATAGCGCGCAATCTGATCTTCCTGAACTACCCCCTTTATCGCCTGTTGGTGCCCTGTTTCCTGACCTTCCTGTTCCTTCTCATCATCGAGCGAGTGCCCCGCAGGTGAGCGACTCGGAGCTACGTGGTTACCCTTCGCCTCATCCGCCTCGAACTGTATCTGCCACATCATCAGTATGCTCATCCCCGAATGTTACTCCAGCGTCTCCACCTCTCCGTCGTCCGTCGACGCCCCCAATCTCAATTTCGAGCGCGAATCCGATATCCCCCATCGTACCCATCCCTCCCGTGATTGCCTTGCAAAATGCAGATAACCTTCCCACACCTCTATCAACCCCTCAACTTCCCTCTTCCTCGCCAAACCTCAATTCACCTTCCCCCAACGGAAAATCTCGCCCCAGTACTTTATTCTCCCTATTTTCCCGCAAAAAGTCTCACGATTTCAGTTCATCCTTTAATTTTTCGTCACAGTCTCCTGCTGACATCACTTCATTGGCTCTTAAAAAGTTATTGGAGTATCTAAGGGATATGTACGATTTGGATGAAACAAACAGTCAAGAAAATTTAGTACGTCTGAGGAGACGTGAATGGGATGTCGAGAAAGATGTCGAAAATGGTGATGCTGGACAAGTGATTGATGAACCGAAAACGACGGAGGAGGAAGAAGAAGAAAAAAGAAAGAAAAAATTAAAAAGTATGGTTGTTTTTGTCATCGTTCTGTATGCGGTGATTGATATTAACTGTCGCCCCGTTTTATTTTTCACATTGATAGAGCAAGAAAATATTCAGCGACGTCACAAAATTGTGGCCGAAATTTTATCAACAGAACA